ATCATGAAAATGTCTGATCTGGAAGAAGATGATCCCAGAGCAAAAATGTCCTGGTGAGGAACCTACTGCAGGAAAGATGCCAGAAGCAATGAGCAGCTGAACCAAAGGTGGCATAAACAGCAAAGAGCAACAGTTCCAAGACACAACGAACTGACAGGACCAGTAACTACCAATCCTGTGTGAAAAGTGACAGTAAGGTTTCTTAGGGTTTTCATGGAAGAGGAGTACAAATTTGTACTGGAGGCAAAACTTGGCCAAAATGTCTACAGTGACAGAAGATGTTGCTGCTTTGAGCACAAAAAGATTTATGACAGTTTTACTTTCAATCAGGAACTCAGTAGGACAACTGAACTGATACTAATTTCCACACACCCATAGAATGAAGAGGGATCCAGTACTATTTATAGTACTGTCTGAAATATATAACCCACATGAAGTACCAAACTGTCCATAAAATTCCTATACTTCCAACACTAATCCTACCACCCAGAAAGGAGCAGAACACCCTTTAGAACCACCCCAGCCAGCAGGGTGTGGGCGGTGAGTAGAGCACCAAAGCAGCCAGCACTGGCCTTGAGGACATGGGGCAGAGGGGACAGTGCTGGCCACTGTGCCCCACAGCCGCAGCATGGTGGCCTGGGAAAGTCCCCTACCAGCCCTAAACAGCCATGGTGGTGCCAGTCCTTTGCCTCCCTGTAGTCCCATACCAGGAGGTTATATGTCGAGCCACGTACCAGGAGGGTGCCCAGCATTTGTACTGTACGAAGTGCACATTAACAGTCTGTATCCTGGTGTTCAGGGCGGCAGGCCGCTAGCTGCAACGAGCGCCACACAGGCCACTTAGCCATGGTACTCCTACCTAGAGACCACTGTTGGTATCAAATAAGGCCCAACCCAGCAAGCAGCTCCACACCTGGGCCTGAGAATACTCCTTGGACAGAGGACCCTGCTCAGGGCTCCTTTGCCCAAATGGCCAGGGCTCCACTGTGCAGCAGAGCCACGCAGCAGACCAGACACTCTTGCTGTGGTGTGGCCTGGGGAAACATGGCTAAGGCAGGGGCAGGCAAGCCCCCTGGCTTGGAGGCTGAGCCAGTGACACAGTATGGCACCCTGCCTTCTGACTCCAGCTTTCCCAGTGACTCAGACTCAAATCCAGCTGGCCAGGTGGTGCCAAGATGGAATCACTGTCTCCAGAGATACTGCCTAGGGAGGCCCAGAAGAGCCACAGCTGGAAGAGTCCCCTTCTCACCCCACAAGCATCCCCACCACTGCAATGCAGGCCTTCCACATTCGAGGAATGAGCTCTGCCTTCTGCCAGGGAAGCCACAGCATCTTTAGAGGGTGGCAGCCAGGGAGGTGCCACCCTCTATAGCCCAAGCCTGCATGAGAGACAATGGTGACTTTAAGTGGGTCCTGGCACCCTTGAGCCAGCCTCTAGGAGGAGACCTACACAGGGCTCAAGGGAGCCCTAAGCCCCCAAGGGGGTTCTAAGTACTTATACTATGCTCACACCATGAGCGCTGGAGCAAGTACAGCCTGGAGGACGTGGGTGAGGCCACTGAGCAGAGCAATCTGCCCTGGCCTTCTGTGCTCCTGGACCCCTGCAGTTCACACTGACTACATCCCCTCCTACAACGAGGACCCCTCCAGCTCTGGTGAAGGAAGAGTAAGTAGTCTTTACCAAGCCAGCCCAGGCCAGCAAGACCAGACCTGAGAGGAACAGGGTCCTGACAAAAGGGGACTCCGTGGATGAGGGCCCTGTAGAGCAGAGCCACACAGCAGGGCACAGAAAGCCAGAGGCTGAGGAATGGAGCAGTCACCAGGAGATGCAAGAGGTAGTGACGCCTTCAGGGGCTGCACACACACAGTCTTCACCAGGACCCCTGGTCAGAGATAGTTGGTTGCTACGTCAGCAAGAACCGAAGCAGACAGCACTTCTGAACAGGGACAGCAGCCTCAAGGCTCTCCAATCTGAGACGGAACACCCAGCCTGACCAGCACACCAGGCTGCAGCCAGAGCTGGCCAGCCACTCCAATGGAATGGCAAGAGGACCGTCCCCTTAAGAAGGACGCCAGGGGGCATCAATAGCTCTGGCCATGCTCATCAGAGGACAGGCCTTGCCTAGACCTGGAGGAAGGGTGGGTCTGGGGGTGGTCAGGGACACCAGGAGCTCTGGTTCTCTGATGTCCAGTAGGGAAGAGAAAAAGATTTACGGTCTT